CTCTGTCCGTGATCTATGCATGTATATTCTTTGGCTAATCTCCACCTTCTTTCAGCCAGTCCCCCTCCCCGCCCCCCTGACAGCTGTCAGTCTGTTCCATGTATCCATGGCTCACACCAGATGGCTATCATTGTGTTGGTTGTTGTCATTTTTTTATTTGACAATCTAAGCGAAAAGGGGTCACTGCCCCTGATTAAATAGTCAGGTATCGCATGTTTTAAACATTCTGGCAGCACACCGGTTGGAAATCGCTGCTCTAGGACAATGTTGCCATGTGCACGTTGCCTGTATCTTCAAAGGCTGTCGCCTTCTCGGACCCCCCAACACAGGCAGGCAACCCTCGGACTTCTTTATACATTCCCTCGGCAAAGGAATTCATCATTTTCTTCTAGGAGTCGCAGCTTCAGGCCGCAGCGTTTCCAAAGCACAGACCTGGGGTGTGTAACAGGGCTTGTCATTTCCCGTGGTGTGTGTGCGTGTGGAGTGGGTGCACCTCAATATCCGCCGCATTTCCTCTCCAGGCGCTGAGACTCTAGTTAGGGATTAAGCCAACCCCGGTCAAGTACGTGGATGCACGTGGCAGAGGGTCTGTCACAAGCAGGATGTGTGACGTCAGGAAAGGCACTGCAGAACTTTCATGCCGAAGAGGGAGAACAGACACAGCAGGAGGAACCCATGCCCGGTGTCACGCAAAGCCTTTAGCATCATAGGTTTTGCCAAAGATGCAAGATCAGTGTGGACAGAAAGTTAACCAGGGTTCAGTGGTGACTGACAGAAATGTGCAAGATCAGAACGCGTAAGTGAAAATGACCGGAGAAACCAGGAGGCAGTCCTTGTGGTGCGCTGAGTACGTAGGGGGAGGCAGGAAAGATGAATTGCTTAGGATCGGAAACACATTGCAATTCCAGGGCATTCACTACCCACGCTAAATTCACTGAAAGTGGAACTCCGACTGTGATGAAGTTTCCATTGTCATATATGCAAGGGATTTCCAAGTGCATATTTTAAATGCTTTCCTCCCTTCTGAGTTATAATGTCTTCCGTGTTCTATTTCAGACATCAAGCCACGGCAACTGGGGGTCCTGGGGGTCCTGGGGCCAGTGTTCTCGCTCATGTGGGGGAGGAGTACAGTTTGCCCACCGCCACTGCAACAACCCAGCACCCAGGAACAGCGGCCGCTACTGCACCGGGAAGAGGGCCATCTACCGCTCCTGCAGCGTGACGCCCTGCCCTGCCCAGGGTACGCTGCCCGACTCTCAGCAACCTCTGTTCTCGCAGTAATAAATAGCCTACCAGTCTTGAACTTCATACTTCCCCCAGTGTGCACATCAGTAACAAATACATAAGTGATTTCCAAATTATTATTATGAACAACTGAGTATTCAGGGAGTAGGGAGAAAATAATTGCTGTTCTCAACTCTGTGTATAGATAAAAATCCTTCAGCACTGGTGTGTAAAGAGGCTCTGAGAGGAAGAAGCATCTTCTTAAAATTGCTGAAAGGCACAAGAAGGTATGTAGGTTTCGGAACGGTAGAGTACTGATGTGACGTGTTTGCTCTTTAGGTAAATCTTTTCGTCATGAGCAGTGTGAGGCCAAAAATGGATATCAGTCTGATGCAAAAGGAGTCAAAACATTTGTGGAATGGGTTCCCAAATATGCCGGCGTCCTGCCAGGAGACGTGTGCAAGCTGACCTGCAGAGCGAAGGGCACCGGCTACTATGTGGTGTTTTCTCCAAAGGTAACGAACCGCACACCGTCTGTCCAGACACTGGAGGCGTCCTTGGTGGACATTATTTGGTAGAAGGAAGCCTGGCAGATACCAACTGTAAACAATCATTATTTTGGGGGTTGGCTAGGTTTGGAAGGGTTTTATTTTCATCTCTATAATTTCTATATTTTCAAACTTTATACAATGAATAAAAATTTTCTGTAAACAGAACAAGTAAATGTTTTAAAAGCTATTTTTGAAGAGCCTAACTCTGTCAAGTCAGGTGAGATGTGACCTTAACTTCAAAATAGCCCTGAAAATATGTGGTATTTCCAAGGCACATTTGTAAAGGGGACTATACGGCGAGAAAGCTTTCCTATTTCTTCATCATTTACGTAAGACTTTTGTTAGTGGTTCATGAAGACAGGTTTCAAGATCATTGTCTCTGACCTAGATTTTTAAATGTCCTGCACCCTTAGTATGAATCAGTGTCCCTTTAGTTGTACACATAACGTATGCCTGTGAAATTATCCCTTATTTTTCACAGAAGGTTTTCTGAATTACTGCAGCTTTATGTCTCACAATCAATACTCTGCAGCAATTTATCTAATACTATTTATCTAATTTGCAAACCGGTGCTACAGGTATTATTTTAAATTTTTTTTCAATTACAGTTATAGTCAATATTATTTTTATTAGTTTCAGGTGTACAGGATAGTGGTTAGACAGTCATATACTTTACAAAGTGTTTCCCCTGATATTTCCAGTATCCATCTGACACTATACATAGTTATTAGAATATTATTGACTATATTCCCTAAGCTGTACTTTACATCCCTGTGACTATTTTATAACTACCAATTTGTACTTCTTAATCCCTTCACAGCAGATGATACATTTAAAACCACCTCTGTAACTGGTCTTCAGATATTTCTGACATATTTCTGAAAAATAAGTTCATATCCAACAATACATTTTCATTTTAAAAAATATACAGAGAAATAAAATCAAAAACATCACGTGGAAATATAACCATCTGGAGAGCTGTTAACCAGTTGAAGTATACCCTATTTCAGTTTACAGACACTCAGACACACACACATATATGAAGACTTATGTATATTCACAAATACAAAATATACCGTTTATTTATATATATGACATGTTATTTACATACGTGCATGCACAAACCACAGGTAGTCCATGTTCATCTTACTTTGTAACTAGCTTTATATGTTAATTATTTCATTCAAATATATACATTCTCTTCCAGTTAATGGTTCTCACCAGCTTCCCCAGATTCCTTTTCCTACACTAATTTGTTCGTCTCAATTTCAGCTTCTGACAGCTCGACACAACAGGGAGTGCTTTCCAACCATTACACAGTTTTGAAAGTCGGGTTTAGATTTTCAAATTTATTGCTATAATAACAATTATGCGACAAAAAGATCTCCGGTGATCTTAGGCCTGCTCATATTCTGCTCTCGACACAAGTGACAGACAATCCCACAGGCTAAGTGAAAAAATTGCTTCTCTCTGTGTCATAAAGCCAGACTGTGCATTGGGAACGTGTTATGCGTACAGGAAGGGAGATGAGTACCTTGGGTATCCCAGCACATTTGGATTTGAGCTCAAGAGAGAAAGTGCATGACTGAGATTTATCCCCGATCTCCTGCCAACATGTAAAGGATTTTTCAGTGAGATACTCCTGAAAACTATAGTTTTTTGGTTCTTTGTTTTTTTCTCAATGTACTATCTATTCCGATCAAACTCAAAACTCACAGATTAGAACGTGCTCTTTTACCAAAAAAAGAAACCAAGTAGGGGCACAAGCACTGCCCACGGCTAACGCGCGTCTCACGTGCAGGTGACCGATGGAACTGAATGTAGGCCCTACAGCAATTCCGTCTGCGTCCGGGGGAAGTGTGTGCGGACGGGCTGTGACGGCATCATCGGCTCAAAGCTGCAGTATGACAAGTGTGGAGTGTGTGGAGGAGACAACTCCAGTTGCACAAAGATTATTGGAACCTTCAATAAAAAAAGGTAATGTGATGGAACAGTGGCCCATGTGTGAATTGAAGGAAGCTTCAGACTCTCCAGCTGACAAAGGACTCATGTTACGTCGTCAGCTCCTACCCGATTCCCTTACCCTTCTTTCTTTATCTCCATTACCCCGTTTGGCATCATTTCAGCTCAGTGTAACCAGAATTTATTTTTGTTTAGGATGTTATAAAATATAAATGGCACAAGAATGGGTTATATCTTTGGGAATATGGTGAGAGGAGTCCAAATTTGGAGTCAGGGGCCTGATTTTAAGCCCAGCACTGCCATTATATTAGCGTTGGAGTGAACTTGTTCAGATGCTTTAATATATGCCCACTTGATATGCTTTTTGTGTAAGATATCACCAGCATCCCTCCTGGCTTTGTTTGAAGCCACTGTAGGTTTGCGTATCATCTCTTGATATTAGATACTTCAAAAGAAAAAGTCCTATCATGACATCTAATCCAAAGTGTATTACAAAAATAAAAATATTAGATCAAGTTGAATGGATAAGCAACATCATCAGGATTGCATCTTCTGTCTTCAACACAGTAGGAAGCTTAAACACATTGAAACTATGTTATGATAAGGTAAAATTTTTAGCAAATTTCTGTTGGTTTATCCATGTTCTAAGTGTTTACTTCTCTCTCTCTCTCTCTCTCTCTCCCCCCCTCCCCCTCCTTCTCCCCTGTGGCCATTCCTGCCTCCAGTAAGGGTTATACTGACGTTGTGAGGATCCCCGAAGGGGCAACCCACATAAAAGTCCGACAGTTCAAAGCCAAAGACCAGACTAGATTCACTGCCTACCTAGCCTTGAAGAAGAAAACCGGTGAGTACCTTATCAATGGCAAGTACATGATCTCCACTTCGGAAACCATCGTTGACATCAACGGCACGGTCATGAACTACAGCGGCTGGAGCCACAGGGATGACTTCTTGCATGGGATGGGCTACGCCGCCACCAAGGAGATTCTAATAGTGCAGATTCTTGCAACAGACCCAACGAAAGCGTTAGATGTCCGCTACAGCTTTTTTGTTCCCAAGAAGTCCACTCAAAAAGTAAACTCTGTGACAAGCCATGGCAGCAATAAAGTGGGATCGCACCCTCCCCAGCTGCAGTGGGTGACGGGCCCGTGGCTTGCCTGCTCCAGGTCCTGTGACACGGGCTGGCACACCCGGACCGTGCAGTGCCAGGATGGGAACCGGAAGCTAGCCAAGGGATGTCTTCTCTCCCAGAGACCTTCAGCATTTAAGCAGTGTCTGCTGAAGAAATGCTAGCCTGCGACTCTGCTCTGACGCAGGGACGACCGGGTGGCTCACCAGCTATCAGTCGTGGTGAGCAAGAGGCCCACCTGCAGCACAGAAAGTCACGCTTCAGTGTCACTGTCAACAGGAGTCCGATTATGGGCAGAATCTGCTCTCCGAGACCAAATGAAGATGTGCACTATTTCATGTGACAGTGGTGACCCTGGAATATAGAAAAACTCAGGAGCTGGCGAACATCCCCCAGGCGTGCAGGAATGAAACAACACTGATGGATGTAGCATCAGGCGACATTTGAAGACGGCAGAAGGAGAGTCCCCTTTGTCACCTACCTCTAACAGAATGTCTTCAAAGGCACTGTAACCATTTTCACCCACAACCCACAGTAGCTTCTTTTTACTGTTTGTAAATACATCCTGCCTTGGTATGTCACTTTATATCACTCGGTTCTATTAAAAAATATATATATATGTATGTACATATACATATATATTTCTATAAAAAAAAAGTGTTTGACCAAAGTAGGTCTGCAGCTATTTCAATTCTTCCAGTTTCTGGAAAGAGCTGTGGATGTTTTACTGGAAATTTAAGACCTTGCTGCTGTTTTCATGAGATTTAGTTATACTTTCAGACAACAGGAGATCAAATTTTAGTCAAAAAACCATTTGAGAGCAAGCATCTTCTGAGAAATTCTGAAAAGGAAAAGGGTCTTAGTGTATCTAGTCATTTAAATACATACATGAGTCCATCTACTTAGACATTTGACGGCCTGTGTTTTTCTCAGGCAGCCAGCCAAATTCATGCGTAATTAGGTTGTGAAAGTAGTGTTGATGTGTGTGTGTTATCGGTATTGAAGAGTCTAAAAGTTTGTTTCCTCATGCTAGAATTTAAAAGGGAAAAAACACATACTTCACCATATTTTCCATTTAAATTTTCACAATCGCTTTCCCTTTCTATGGCTCTCATCTGATATGATATCTCACAATGTGTAATATATACAAAATACACACAGCAAAGAGTTTCCTGATCACAGTCAGCACTCTCAGTGCCGGTATACCTTTACCAGCAAGACTTTAAAATGTGTTCGTTTTCGCTTGTTTGTTTGGTTCCAGAGTTCTGTGAGACCTACAAGGTTTCTACTTCTTGTTGACTTAGTTTAATAGGAATATTAAAGATCACTTGGCAATTAGCCGCATCTAGAAGTGACTATCGGTAATGTGGCTAGTGCAAAAAATAAGTGGTTATTAATAAGACTGTTTCCACACTTTATAGGCAATAATTCTTTGAATTTTTAAAAATCCAAGTCTACTGATATTGCACTTGAGATTTTTCCCAATTGGAAGGCATTTGGTTGTACCAGTAAGTGTCTGAATGATGAAATAGGATGATTTTTGAGAAGTTTGTTGCTTTTATTTCCACAGCCTGCCTGGGTAGGTTGTAAGTTTGAATAGTTAGACATGGAAAAATTTTGCAATCATTTGCCTAAAAATCTCTTTTTAGACAGTAAACTGTATCTCTCCACCCCATAGCTCAGAAAATATAAGGTGTTTCGTTTCATTGGGATTTCTTTTTCTTTGTGAAATATCACAAAGCCAGTTGTTTTTATAAAATTGTATAATAATCATACCAAATGTGCCTATTGTGAAGATTTTCATATCAGGATGTTAGGGGACCATTGTTTTGAGTTCCCTTAAGCTCATGAGAGTTTATTTTTATTATAAGATATTTTTAATATAAAAGGATTATGTAATTCATCTTGCTAAATCACGTTTATTTCAGTGGGCCAGGAGAATGGATGTCTCACTGTTCAAAGTATTTTCTTAGGAAATTATTTGGTAAAACAAATAATTATTTTACAGTACTGATTAACCATATTTGGATTTTTATAAACTGACTTTGCTTTAGATGTGGTCGTTTTTTCTTAATAAATTATCAGTTAGCGAAATGAGGCCTATACGAGACTGGTAAGGTACACTTGATGGAGGTCAACCAGATAATTGGGGCCAGGGAACAAAGCTGTTCAAATTAGTCAGGACAGGAATTAAAATCACACCCACCATTTGACTACACAGAGAGAATTACTAGAGGCCAACATTATTTTTTTCCAATTTCCGAAATAATTTTAATCAAGTAATTCAATTATGACAGTTTTATTTTATCTTTTGTGGGTATATCGATGGCAACATTAAAAGATCATTGAAGAGCAAACATGATTGTCTCCTACTCTGCTTTTCTATACTGGACTCATAGATTTTTAATATGATTTATCAGTGATTCATTTTCCTCCAAATAATGAAGTCTGACACTTTTCATTGGAACAATCCTAGGGAGCTTAGAATGGATAAACCACTATTCCATGCTTTTAAAGAATTTTCTCTAGTATTTGGGGGGTTTTTGTTTTGTGGGTTTTTTGTTTTTTGTTGTTTTTGTTTTTTGGGGTTTTTTCTGTATGGGCATCAATAGATTGACTAAGGAATGTATGTATAAACTCCTGAGAAAAATGATACAGACCGGAAACTGAAATTCAGAGAAACTGAGTGTTCGATAGATAGGAAGAATGAGAAACAAAGGGAAAATCCTCTGTAACACAATCTGATTCAGTCCAGCTTGATTTTGGACTACGCCTTTCACCTTCCCGCAGTTGCATCTTGAATAAAGAATCTAAGATTCATGATGCTAGGGGATGGATACTTCCTATAAAAAAAAATAATAATAATAAATAAAGAGTTTATCTGAAAATGCTCAGGTTAGTAAGAATCTAACCTCACTCACAAAACTAAACGCTCCAGGTTAAGTTTTATTAAATACAAAGGGAGCCCAGGAAAAAATATCATTTATTTCTTCTAGAACAGAAAAGGCCAAATTAAGCCCTGCCTTGTTGTTTAGGGATTTAAGGGCATTAATTTAATTTCTTCAACAAATTCAATTTCCTTTGCCTTCCTGTGGAAACAGTTTTATCCCATTAAACTGAGAATGAAGGGATTAATCACAAACAAAAAAAGTTGCAGCACTGAAAAAAAAGTAATTTATTGTTTATGCAACTGGTATGTGAATTTGTGTGATGAAATTATTTATTCTTATTTAACAAAAATATGTGCAAATTCTATATTTAAAATGTTTTGCTGTTGTCCTACTTTTTAATTTATGCTTCATGTTTGTGTATAAAGTACACTTTGTGAGTTTACATAATATACAGCACTGTTTGCTTTTGTATTTTTTTACAGAAAGCTTTCTGTGTGAAACAGGTGTACATGTATATATTCCTCGTGTATCTTTATTCTGATGCTATCGTTTTCCTTTCTAAGGAATTTTTAATTTAATCTTTCATCATGACCAGTCATGTTCATTAGTTGTAGTTATATTAACAGGCCTTTTGGGTTCCATTAATACTAATTTTTCCAAGTCACAAATAAGAAAAACACTTATTCAAGGAACTACAGTCCAAGTTTTAAACTTGGATACAGAGAAAGCCTGGAAGCTTCCCACTGAAGCTGACACCGTTAAGAATCAGGTCTCTTCATTTCACCGATATACTTGGACAAAGAGCTGTTGATGGGTTGTATGAAAGTTGTATACACATAAATTCCAGGTGACATCAATGATAATAAAACCAAATATTGTCTTTTGCTGCTTAACAAACACTACTCAAACATTAATAATTCATATCACTTAGTCTCTAGTGTCTGTAGGATTCTGTAGATGAGAGTAAAGGAAATGGATTTAAATGATTCCAATGTTAGTAGTCATGACTGTTTCTACAAATACGGGGTCTCCGTTGATAAAGGGTGACTTTTTACTACTGCCAATGTCTTTCATGGAGTTATAATAGGACTTGGGACAGGCAGGGACAAATCACATCAGCTTGCCCCTGACTCTGATTTCACAGTCTGGTCACAGCAATAAGGCAAAGCCCCCCTTGGACACACAATTGACCAGACCAACCTCTGGCTCTAATGCTTCTCCCAGGGACTCCTTCCTTATCATCAAGGTCACTGTCATGGTTTAGGTCAGGATAGCAGCCAGATTCAAAGAAACTCAGGACGAGTGCTATGACTTAGAGGTCATTGTGAAATAGGACTGACTGTAATAATGTCCGAATTTTGCTGACGGTTTATGGCCAAGTGTGAAACCTCATTGGCACGATTGGTGAACATTCCCACTCTATTTATAATTAAACTTGAGACCATAAAAATACCTTATTATTTTTAACATTTCAAAGCTACAAAATAAATGAATAACCCTGAGTAGAGAAACGTCCATCCAAAGCTATAACAGAGCCAAGTGCAATGCCAAGGTGATCTGTCATTTAGACACACGGAAAAGGAACTTGGATATTTTCTCTATTATTTTTCTCATTCATCAAGAGCCTGTAGTTTTAGATTGTCTAAGAGGCAGATCAACTTAACTCGCTAGTCCACTGGAAAAAAGCAATCTTCCTAATAGCTTCCCGCTACCGGGAATTGCAGAAATGACTTCTCAAATTATATCACCATGAAACACATCAATCTATGAAGCATAACTGTGTTCTGGTCAATTAATATATGGGAACATGTTGCAATAAAACCCATGTATTAGTGAAACAAAAAATGGAAATGGACGTGATGTTCAGACTAGAAAAGCATTTAATGTGGCCGATGTTTTTTCTGGTGCCATGAGACCGTAACTCTCAATGCAGATTTTGTGGAGACAATAAAGAAATATGTTGTTAGAAGATGCTGGTTTGAAAGAGAATAGGACTGAAATGTATGTGTTAGCTAACCCAGTTAACTGCACCCTCCTGATATACTAGCACTTTAGCAGTAAGTCTGCTGTCTGTGGCCCTTGTCCCGTAGCTCCAGCTGGCCCACGTGGACGCCATAGGTCAATGAAGAAACGGATAATGCCCCATCATCCTAGAAGGCACTGTCACCTCAGAGTGACCCAAGTCTAACACTGTGAGAAAAGCTGTGATTTATAAATAAAACAGGGCATTCTTAGTTTTTTTCATTTTCCTCTGGTACATGCAATGAACAATTATAATTTTTTATCAAGGTGCTAACATCTTCAGTGATCAACTGTCCAATGTGGTATTTCTGAGTTACTATTTTATTCTACGTGATTTTTCTGTTTTCAAGAACTTAAGTTTTTTTGGTTTTTTGTTGGTTGTTTTTTTGTGTGTGTGTCAAGGCTGGGCACAACTTGATACTCAAAAGTTAGGAAAACTGCATCGAGTGGTCATTCCGATCAGCGGTGTCCAGTGATACAAGCTGTATGTACATCGGAGATGTTTCAGGTGACATCAAAACTTGAAGAGTCAGGCTGGAGAGGGGACTTTTAGATGAGTCACATTTCTTCACTGACTAAGACAATCAGCCTTCTTTTTAAACAATTGTGCTTGGTTCTTATACACAGACTTCTATGTATCCTTACTTGGCCTGACTTCGTTCAAGCTTCGCAGTATTTTACGTCCACAGTAAACACTTGGCTACTATATCTCAATCTTTGCTTTAATAATTCACAGCATATTAGCAACACTTCACCCCATACTGAGAGCATATTGAGACTAGATCATGCTGTGTGTCCTTTGTGAGGCTAGACTTTTGATTAAGAAATAAATACATCGTCCTCTGGATGGTGTTTTTGCATTTTGCTCTCAGGCATGACGTAAATGTAGGAGTTGACAAATACTGCTTACATTTGAGTATTCTATATTTGTCAGAGAAAATCATGCACATGCTTTGTAAATAGACCGCAGACAACTAAGCAGATTGCAGAAATATGTTCAATCAGATGTGAGCAGTGGCGTGAATATTTGATTTCTGTATTTGAGTCTCTGAGTAAATTCAGGTGATAAATCTAAGTAGGTAGAACTGAGTTTTTTTAAATCTTGAAAGGTGCTTACAAGGTAGAGTAAGACTTTGAAGATTTACATGTTGTATATAAGCTGCTTATTACCCCTGGTTTTTCAGAAGTGATGGTATTTTTCAGTAAATACAATGCAGTTGAAAAACCAAACATCTTGGGAAACTGTGGTGGGTCTCACTGAAAATGTCTCTCCAGCTTTGGCAAATTTCAAGCCTGAATAGACTATCGAAAGCATCACTGTGTCTTCTAGCCTGCATTCCACAACAGCTCTGTTATTCAGGTAAAGCCCTTGAACTGAGTCAACAGGGACCTGTACTGTAATAACTCATTGAGGAACAATATCCTATTTTGTAAAGCATTTTCCTATGTATGACTTTAAACTGTAAAATTAAACATTGGCTTTGTGGTTTCAGTGAGCATAATAAATGTAAACTGTAAACTAGGTTAAAGTATGTACTGCATATAATATGTTTTAGAGTTGGAAACTATTGCCCATTTATTTTAAATATTCTCATAATAGCAGTAGAACGCTGCCAGGTCTTAAGAAAACTCTAGGCTCGCTATCATTTTGACCATCCCTCAGCCACTTTGGTATAGACAATTAACACTTTATCTGTTTTAAAGTCTTCTTGCCAGACCGCCACCCCCTAAGTCTGTCTAGTATCAAAATGTTGGTATTAAATCAGAAAAAGAGAACAACATAATCTACCTGGTTCACCTACTATTTTCAAGCTAAAGTTTTTCTAGATATAAAATCAAAGAGTCAAAATGATAATGCATGCATGGAAATTCAAAACAAGTTGGCATTCACTAGCAAAACCCTATTTATTTGCCAACAAATTTATGGTATTAAGGTCCGAAGGACATCAATTCTTTCTAAACCTGTAATCGTTACCATTTAGCACACATTGCAAACATTGAATTTCCCTCTCGTATCAAATATTTCAGAATTGTATATTTTTTCTTTTTAGTAGAATGTTTACTTTTTAAGAAATAATTTAAAACACTTATACTTCTTAAAATATTATACATAAACAGCCATCCTAAATGGCTAGGATTTGTTGAACACCTCTGGGTGAGGCCCAGTGGTAAATACCAACTTTCTCCCACATGTTTCTCTCCATGACCTTTTTGACCTTGGTCTTAAGAGTCCAGTATTATGGATGACTGTCACATAATAACTGTTAATGGTCATCTAGCTGTTGCCAAGTGCCAGGCACCGTTACAAGCACTTTAGACATTTATTTTCAATTACTGGCTTTTTTAAGCACTGAGAGTCTTAAATCCTTATGGACTCTGAGTCTGATGGAGGGATTGTGGGGTGGGTGGAGGATTGTGTGAGTTTGGAGAAATGAGGGGAAGTGTTTAGAAGCCCTAATGTGTGGGCCTCCTGTGTAAAAGCAAACACGATCCTAAAATTCCAATAAAAATGGCAAGAAAACTCTGGAGAATCAGGCAAGCAGCAAGACTAGAGGCAACAGCTTAGAGTGTACAAAGGACTGTTGTTTAAGGAGAGAGAATTTGATTTAGAAAACTGGTTAATTGCTCGGAAGGATTAAAACAAAAAAACCTGTGGTATTTAACCTTACAAACCCCTTTCACAGCTAATAATGGGCTAGTTCAGACAAGGTCAAGGGCATAAAAATGGTCCTGGGGGGTAGATTTTAGATTAGGAGTAGAATGAACGAAGAAGATGGTTAGAAATGAAACTATAGGTGTTTGAAAAGTCAAAATTGTCTTTAATTCCTAGGTTCTGTAGGGTGATCCCTGATATTTTACTCTTTTTTCTGTTCAATGAAACTCATGTTTTCCCACAGAATGGAAGATTGTAGGTCTTAATGCAGATATATGAAGGGGTATAGTTTTTTTCTCAGTTCCCTCCCATGGCCCTCTCACGGGTTAATAGAATCACATCCCAGAATGATTAACGCTCTGGGGCAGTTCTCAGGGGTGGAAGATAAACAGTCCGAAGATCTCACTGTAACGTGAAGTCAGGATATTTGCTATAATAAAACATTTCTCTTTCCACTTCTAGATGCCTACAGCATTTTGTCTCTTTGTTTCAGCTTCATTGGAGTTTGCCTTGAATTGTAGCTACAGACCTTTTGCTCTTGTTGGTATTTATTATTAAAAGCATCTAAATATTGGATAGCAGGAAGGTACCTTTTTTTAATTGCTCGTAAGTAGAATCGTCACAAAAAAAAAAATGGCTGAACTAGTTTTAGGTTTAAAAAAATTCTCTATAAAAGTGTTGGGAACCACTAAGTTATTCGCTTTCCATAGAAGTCTGGTACCTTCTAGACGTTGTAAAGAGTGTACCCAGATTGTTTCTTTACTCTCCAGCTCCTTTGCTATCTCTTTTCCAAAACATCAAAGACGTTTCTCTTGCTCCCTGGATCTTAGTCATATTGTTACAGGCAGTGTTGAGATGGGAGCTCAGATTTGAGGGCTGGATAGGATCAGGCAGAAGATACAAAAGCGGGCGAGAGAGAGGCAGACGGAAAAGTAGGAGAAATCCACAGCCTGAGAAGGATTTTGTACCCCTTTGCTGGCTTTGAAGATGGAAAAACGGAGCCACAAGCCAAGAAATGCAGGTGGTGTCTAGAAGCTGAGAACAACTCCCGGCCAACAGCCAGCAGGGCAGCAGGGATCTCGGTTCTACAAGCGCAAGGAACTAGGTTGAAACAACCGCATGGAGGTGCCTGGAGTCAGACTCATCCTCAGAGGCCCCAGAAAGGGAGGCAGCCCTGTGGACCCCGTGAGCCCGACCTGGCAGCACCCAGAGCAGGGGCCCAGCGGAGCCTTGCTGGGCCCGGACAGCTACAGAACTGTGAGGCAATAAACTAGTACCGTGTTAAGCTGTGAAATGTGTGGCGATTTGTTACGGTGCTTACAGGAAATGAAAACAAGGAAGGATCTCAGCTTACAGGGGAGTGTTAGAAAGGCCATCAGGCTCGATCCTACGCTGACGGACAGGTGAGGAAGACCCAGTTATCGGGACGGCATATGGCGGGGGGGGGGGGGG